ACCAGGGCAAGCAGCTCTCCATCCTGCACAGCCTGCTCAGCGAGAGTCTGGCCAAGCTGCCGGAGGCGCGCCAGCACGAGCTCGATCCCCTGCAGCACATACTCGACGACATCAGCCGTGCCAAGGAGTTGTCCGCGGGCCATGCCCTGGCCTCCGGCTATCTGCCCACGGTCATGTCCACGCACAGCATTGCCAGTGAGAACCAGGAGAATCGTCAGCCGGATGCCACTGCTGGCTCTGGCATGGTGCCCAGCAGCTCGAGCAGCTCGCTGCAGCACCAGCAGCAACAGCAACAACAGCAGCAGCAACATCAGCAGCAGCAACATCAGCAGCAGCAGCAATTGGCTCAGCCGCAGCATGCGGTGGTCAGCAAGCCACTGCCCGCAGAGCGTGGGATCATGCGAGGCGTGCTGACGCCCAGCGCACTGGAGAAGAACATATTCCGCTACAATGATCCCACGGTGAATGTGCGTCTGCAGCAGCAGCAGCAACAGCAGCAACAGCAGCAGCAGCAGCAGCAACTGGAGCAGCAGCACTCGCATCAGCTGCTTTCCAACTCGCAGAGCTCCATTGCGGGCCAAGCAGGAGGAGGAGGAGGGGCAGGTGGTGGCTCCGGCTACATGAACAGTCCGGTACTGCAGCACGCTCAGTCGCAGAGCTCGATGGCGTCCTCTTCGCTGAACGGCAGCAGCAGCAATCTGCTGCATCAGCACCAGCACCAGCAGCATCCCGCCCAGCATCTCAACCAGCACTGCCCGCCGGCTCCGCAGACGAGTGCTGCCAGCACCATGGAGCGCTTGGAGCGCATGGAGCGGCTGGGCCAGACCTATCAGTATGTGGTCAATCACAATGGCAACGCCAACGGCAATGGAGACTATGATAGCTCCACGGGTGGCAGCTCCCGGGCGCGTACCTTGCCCCGCAACAACAACAACAATAATGGCAATGGCAACGGCAATGGCAATGGCAATGGCAATGGAAATGGCGGAGGCACTGGCAGTGGCAACGGCAGCAATAGCAATCAGAGCGGCAGCTATGATGACATGCACGGCGAGTTCATCCAGATCTCTGGCCTGGACACGAGCAGCGCCTTCGTGCGCAAGTCGCCCACGCCGCTGCTGAAGGCGGGCGCCGCAGCAGCGCCGCGCGGCACGCGCGTCAATCGTCACAATCTGAACCTGTACCTGGGCATACCCGACCCGCGTGCGCCGTTCAATCCCAACTCGTATATGCCCAAGAATCTGGAGGATCTGGACGATCTGATCAAGTACGCCGAGGAGCAGGATGTGATTGTGGATCCACAGCCCAGCGGCAGTCACGCCCATGGCCATGGCCACGCCCACAACAAGCAGCAGCTCTCGGCGAAGAGCAGCCACTGCAGCTCCGGCTACCAGAGCATCTCCACGAATCCCTCCCCCGCACAGTCCTCCAGTCCAGTCGAGGGCCAGCTGCAGCCGCAGCAGCCACAGCAACAGTCGTCGCATAAGCTGGGCGCTCCGCTGGCCTTCAAGAATCCCTCGTACCAGCTGCAGAGCACCGCGCCCACCGCCTCAACACGCGGCCCGCCCACGCCACAGCAGCAGCAGCAGCAGCAGACGACGACGACTTCCTTTGGCGGCCGTGTGAAGCTGATGGGCGCTGGACTGGTGGCGGCACGGGCCGCCTTCTTGAACAGCGGCGGCACCTTGGATGCGGCCACCTTGACGCCCAGCTCCTCGGACGAGCAGCTGTCCACGGACAATCACTACAGCTATGCGGCGGCAGCGGCTGCCGGCGCCAATGTGGTCAGCAAATTGGAGGCGCAGCGCTCGCTCAGCGGCGGCAGCAGCTCCTCCAACTCCAACTCCAACTCGAGCAAGCCGACCCACGCGTACGGCCGTCTCAATGGACCGCTCAAGCGCGAGGACGTCTACGACAACGCCACTGGCTTGGCCGTGGCCTATGCCATGTCCACGCAGCAGCAGCAGCAACAGCAGCAACAGTTGCAGCAGCATTACCATCACCATCTCCACCAGCAACATCAGCAGCAGCAGCAGACTCAACATCAACAGCATCAGCAGCTGCAGCAGGATCACAAGCAATACGCCAGCAGCGGCGGCGGGGCCAGCAGCACGGCGACATCCTCTACGGCGGTCGCCCAGCGACGGCTCAGCCTCGACTCGGCGCGAACGCTCTCCGACAGCAGCACCGATACGGAGGGTGAGTTGAGAGGCAATCAGAAGGCAGGAGTAGAGCACAATTAGAATGAGAGACAGTTTTCAGTGGAGTAGGAAATTTACCAGGAAGATGCATCATGAGGATAAATGTAACTGCTTGTCAAAGAAGTTGAATTTATCAGCTAGCTAAGGGATAGGCTTACTACAAAAATGAGATACTAATATAATGATATTGAGCTATGGATAGCCTGAGGAGTAGAATGAGAGATAGAATGATACAAGGAGCCTGAATCATGGGAGTAAATTCGACTTCATTGATCATCAGCGAAGAATTTGAATCTATTCACTATGAGGCTGGCTTTAATGCAGTGCTTACTACTAAAACTTTTACAAGGAGGATGAGCTACATGTTAAATATTAAGATATTTTTACTAGCTTACAGATATGCAGCGCAAGTTTATTGAGTTATTCAAAAGAAAAATAAGCTAAGCAGATTATGACAGAAGGTAGATTAGTAGATGATAAGCATTGAAAGATTTGCAATGAAGATGAGTTAAATTGTAAATTAAACGTCAAGTTAAATATATCGTTGGTTTGAGTTACATTTCAATTATTTGACAGGCAGATAAAGTGCAGACACCGTCTGCGCGATGCAGATTGTATAGAAGAGAGATGATTGTAGAGTACCAGGTAGATTTGCCATGAACATATTTAAACTACAATTGCTTCTCCTTCCTTTCGCAGGTCACTGCGCACAACTTCAGGAGGGGAAGCGACGCCGCCAGCTGCGCAGCAACGCCAACAGCGGGCTCAGTGGCGGCCCAGGAGTCTCGGTCTCGGTGTCGGACTCGTCAGGCTTGAGCCGGGGCTACGATCAGAACGGCGAGATTCAGCAGCTGCAGGAGACGCTGGATACGCTGCGTCACACGCTGGACCGCGACGAGGCGGAGCTGCGCGACTCCAGCGATGAGCTGTTCGCCCTGCAGCGGCTGGGCGGAGGAGGCGGCGGCAGCGGAGGCAACGGCGTCAGCAACCTGAGCCTGCAGTCAGAGTCCACCATGCGCAGCATCATCGACAGGTGAGTGTGTTTAGCAGCTCGCTCGCACCAGCCGGCCAACTAATATTAGGCAAACTCTTTGCAGGCTCATCACCATGGAGGAGGAGCTGCGGCGCGAGCAACTGAAGATGTCGCTCGCCCTGTCGCACAAGCAGCGCGTCATCGAGGAGCAGGGGCAGCAGATCGCGGCTCTCGATGCCGCCAACAGTCGGCTGCTGAGTGCGCTGACAGCGCTGCGTCAGCGCTACGAGACGCAGCAGCAGCAGCAACAACAGCAACAGCAGCAGCAGCAGTAAGCACCAAAGAACCAGAAGCCACAGTGAACGAACGGTTGGAGCAGAGGAGCAGGCGGAAGCAGGAGCGACAGCAGCGGCACGTGGGTGGTGGTTGCATGTAGAGTAGCTACAGTCCCAACACACACACACACACACATGGACATACATACACAAGTTGGGCCGCCGTTGTCGTCGTGTTTTTTTATTGTCATAAGATATATATTTGTTTACGAAAAATTTTTTTTGAGCCAATTTTTTTTTTTATTATTGCTATGCTACATAAATTATGCTACATGTTTAAAATATATATTATATACATAAACACACATGTATGTGTGAATGCATATATATAAAAAGATATATATGTATATACATAAAGATATATATACATAAATAATACATAATATATAAATATTTTCTCAAGCTATGTTTAAACCAACTGATGTAAAGGAAAACGCAACTGTTGCTGCAGCGGCGGCAACAGCAGAAGATTGTAAAACTAATATTAAAATGATATGAGCAAAGAGTATGAAAGAAGAAAGCAGAAAACAGGACGCAGAGAAATGCAGAACAAGTTAAATTAATGAATAAAAATATAACCAAAGTTAGACAAATGTTGATTGCATATTTATTTTTCTACATGGATTAGAGCAGAACGATGCAGCTAAAGAGCTGTTGGAGCAAATTGAGAGCTATTGCGCGGAGAAGAAATTCAGCTTAATGGAAGTCAAATAAATTACAAACAAATATAAATTTTGATAGCTACCTCTAGCTGTAATATAATCTGTTATTTTTACATTATTTTATTCAACACCTTTCTCATGATGTTTTGCTGGCGCCATCTATTGTAAGTAGGTCATAGCTACACCTAATGTGCGGAGCACAGACGAAGCCAACATAAACGAAGAACCAGTGTGTAAGCGCCATCTATCATGCAAAGAACATAACCGGTTACTGCCTTCAATTAACGCTCGCTCAAAAGTATGCAATGCCAATGCATGTATGCAACTTTGGTGAATTTCTGGCGCCATCTGTTGTAAGCCAGTCTCTGTTGCGTAGCTATAAATTGATTTATTGGTGGCGTCATCTACAGCTCCTGTTTAAGTGTAAGCCACACTACGAGCCATAGATGCCGGCACGTGCATCACTTTTATGATCGTGGTCAGAGAAACAAAGGATTAGCCGTTTATGTGTTGAGTGCGCATTACGCAACAATAAAAATTGTCACCAAAACTGACCCGAGCCACAGCGTGTGGCCAGAGCAGACCGGACAGCGAACAGGTAACAGTTAAGCGAGCCATAAAATCTCGCCGCCGATTCAATGAGCTGAAATTCCAAGGGATTTCCAGCGCTGTGGGCCATTCATAAAATGTGGCTCAGTGCGGCGGCGTCACGGCGTCATTGCTCACATGTGTTGTCCATTACCTAGCCGGATGCACAGGTAGCCGCCGTGCAGCCAGGTAACGTAGCAGCCTGGGATTTTCCACCCAATTGTTGAATGAACGGCCTAACGGCCTGGCCATTGACATATAAAACCAGCCGGGAGCTGGCCTAACACATTTAGAAGCCAAGGCAACGTCAGACAGTCAAGCCATGTCGTGCTCGTCCTCGTCCACGCTCCCAAACGCAACCATCGTCTGTATCATGGCGCTGCTCGGGCAGCTCGTGCTGGTCGCCTCCACGGATCCATTGCCACTGGCGCAGCAACTGCGCATCTGGCAGTGCAGGCAGCGCTGCTATCATCAGACGGACGTGTCACCCTCGCTGTGCCACGCCCGGCCGGATTGCTACATGTGCCACGACTACTGCCGCGTCCTGGTCGTCGCCGAGTGGAGCCTAGCCAGATCCATGTGCGCGGATCGCATCTTCTGCAGTCGCGGCTGCCGCACCGCCTGCCAGTTCCATCGACTGCACACGGCTACGGCGGCGCCCTTTGCCAATGCGCTCCACAAGGCGTGAGCGCCCAAAGGACCGCCCGTCCGCCCGGGGAAGGGGGTGGCGGCAGTGGGAGTAGCACACTTGTAAATATCGATCTAGTTGTTGGTGTTTAGAGATTAAGCTCTAGTTCTAAGTTAATAAAAATAAAGTTAAAATGTAAAAATTACATATTGTTGACTCTCTCTGTGTCTCTTACACTCTCTCTCCTCCTCTCTCTCCCTATCTCTTCCTTTCTCTGGATGCGAGCACACAAATTGGCCAGGCTGTTGCTGTTGCTGCTGCTGCTGCCACAGCAGCTGTTGCCGCCGACTCGCTTTATTAATCAGCAACGATGACGCTTCGGGGTCAACCCTGCCGCAAAAATAATTTTAAAAAAAAAAAAAGCGCAAAAAATAAAGACATTAAATTTTGAAGAAGAAAAAAAAAAACATAAAAAATGTTCTGCTCGCGCATAGAAAAGCATGCAACAGGTGGCACGCAGCAGCAGCAGCAGAAGCAGCGATCAGAGCTTGGGCCGGATATTGGCTTTGCCTTAAACTTATTTTGTGTTCGCCTGTCTGTTCTGCTTCTTCTTGTATTTGGGCTAACATATGGCGCTCTCTTGCGATGCCAGCTCGATGCCAGCGCTGCGATAAGGCCAACAGCTCTCATCTAACGGTTCACACACACACACACACACACACACACACATACGCACGCATATTCAGCTGACAAATATTTGAATCTCCACGCATATTGTTTGCCTTAACACCTAATTACATAATTGCAGCTCCACCGCGCCCCCTTGAGTCACTGACTTGGAGCCGTCCCGCTGTCAGCTGTCACATAAACCAGCAGCAGCCTCAGCCTCAGCCGCAGCAGCAGCGGCGAGCGCATAAAAACCAGCGCAATGATCGTAAAAAAATCGATTTGAAGTCTATAAAAATCATATCATACAAATTTTTATACGCCAAGCACATTTAAAAAACAACAAAACGAAGACGAGGAATTGGGAACGGGAGAAGGGAGACGTAGACGGGAGATGCTGCGCGTTAACTCTATTGACAAGCCAACAATAGAAATGAAAACAAGCTACGACTTATATATAGTGTGTATAATATGCATAATATAATAGTATAAATAATAGTTAAGATGTCTACGACCCAAGCAAAGCCAATAGCAACAGCAACAGCTCAATTCTCTATCAAGATCTGGAGACTGGATGAAGAAACCTTATTCGTAATGAAGATCTAGAGATTGAATGAAGATAATATACGATAGGTGTAAGATATACGATAGATAGGCGATAGAAAATGAGATGAGTAAGAGCTGGATAGATATTAAAACATAACATATATAAATTATAACATTTTGGAAATCATTAAAATGAATATGTAAATATATACAGTCGAGTCTCGATAACTTGTACCCCGCTAAATCGAAAATCGCGAAAAATCGAAATAATTCAATCCAATTAATAAAAATTAGTTTCTCGATAATTTGAATTTTTATGTAATCGAATTATCAGGACTCGACTGAATATTCTATTATCATACAAATGGGAAAAGGTATTAATAAAAACTATAAAATACTTATTTAGATAGAGAAATTGAAAACAATTATATAAAAACATTAATTTTTATTATATGCAGAAATTGAATGCGAAATTTCGTATTTATATTTATATTATATTTAAATACAGCAAAAGGAGAGACTAAAATTATTGATATAGAAATTGAAGGAAAAATCAAGAGAATATTATTATATATTTTTATCTGGATATAGATGAATTTGAGTGAAAATATAATTCTATATAGATGTTACAATTGATAAAAACAAGTATTCAAATTAAAACATGTTTCTGGACAAATATAGAACTTGTAAAAGGTAATTCAAATTAAAATAGTCTTCAATCTAAACGAGGAAAGTGGAAGAGAATTGAATATAGCAATAAAATCTAGATATAGGAAAAATTCAATAGGTTTTCAAATTGTTAGAATTTTTTAGCTGTTGCTGAAACAATTATAAAAAATATATTTATATTAAGATAACTTATCTAATTAGTTAAAATTTATGCAAGGAACAAATTACATATTTAAAATAATACAAACATATAATAAACATTTTTTTTTTTTTAATGTATTTTGTATTCCAAATTAACAATTATTGAATAGAGGTAGTGAAATTTTCTCTACATTTATATTTATGGAAAGGATTTTTGGTTCGAGCTATCATTTATTATATTTATAAATTTATCACATATTTATTATATTTATAAATATGTAATATTATATATATTTTGTTAAAAATTGTTTGACATAATTTCAAAGATTCATCTTGGCTCGTTTTAAAGAAGCAATGCAATATGAGTCTAAAATAAATTTAATTATAAGTCAAATTAAAATTTTAGGTATTTGGTTTTGTGCAATGTCCGCCGTGCTCTCCATCTCTCTGTCCGTCCGTCCATTTGCGTGCCCCTGTAAAAACAAACAATTTGGACGCTATTGCAAATACAGATTTGAGATTCGTGACAGATGGGAAATGGATCATAGTGCATTTGAGCCGATAATGAGTATTATGCAGTCGGTAATGCCCGAATGTAACTTTTTTACTTGTCTTTCATTTGTTTTTAAGTTGGCTAATTTTAAATTATAAATTAGCAAAACTAATTTCTAAACTAATTTCCTTAATTTCTGATGTCTGTGCCCTAGGAATGGTTAATATTTGATATAAATATATATGTTAGTCTATCTAAATATGTGTTATATATAAAAAGATATATTCCGTATTATTCCAGAAATGATTAAAATTGACATGTGACAAGATAACTGAGAAAGTCTGGCGACTTCGAGAGCTGCTGGAGTTCGTGTTCGAGCTGAAGTTCGAGTTGAAGTTGTGACTAAGGGGAGGGCAAAAGGAAAATCATTCGAAATGAAAAGCTAAGCCGCGTTTTGAAAGCAAATTAAAAGCCACGACAAATGGTCCTAAGAAAATAAATGACAAATAAATTTTCCATTGAGCAACAGGTGCTTAAAGGGGCTCTACGTCTAAATGTCTAAACGTCTCTCGGTTTGTCTATCTCTCTGTCCGTCTCTCGGCCCGTCCGTCCGTCCGTTTGTCTGTCTGACTGGAGAATTGAAAAGTTTTCCGATGATGCAATAAATTTACAGATAAAATTTTTATTTACGATTAAGCGGGCAAAGCTATGCACAGAGGGCCAAGGGAGCGGGACGAGGCCCATAGAGCCACGCTGTCTAGGCCGGATTCTGGGTTACCTTTCGAGCTGGGCATGGCACTTGGGGGGCGTAAGCATTATTGAAATAGTTGCCATCGCGCATCACGACGACTCAAGAGCCGAGCTGAGCCAGCGAAATAAACAGAAACACACATAATATATACATATACATGTATATTTATATATATATTAATTAATTATAAAGCGGGCACAAAGTTTGAGTGAGTGTAGTGGAAAGGGAGGGGGAGGGAGAGGGGGAAGCGAGAGCAGCAGAGGATCAGACAGCTGGACAGCCGCCCGGTCATAACGTGCACGAAGGTGAGAAATCAATTTTCAGTATCTCGCTTTGTGCTTAATACTTTTTCCAGTGAAATGCGCCGCGACGAGGTTGATGATGAGGATGAGGTTGAGGCTGAGGCTGAGGCTGAGGCTGAGGCTGAGGCTGAGGCTGAGGCTGAGGAGCTGCGCAGCGCCTGGGGCCATGCAGCAGAGGCAGCGACTGAGTGAGGCACAGGCCATGCTCCGTTGTCGTCAAGCCTCAGAAGCGAGGCCACAAATGAGGTTCAATGGAGAATGGCTATGAGCTGGACCTGGCTCTGGCTCGGGTTCTGGCTCTGGGTCTGACTCTGGGTCTGGGTCGGGGCAGCCCTGGCACGTAAATTAGGATAACAACGTGAAACATAATTATTACTTTGGACAGATATGGCAACCTCAACTGCGCCTGCGCCGAGTCCTGCGCCGCTGTCTCTGCACCCATGACTAGCTGATCGAATTTCTATACCCTGCCTAGATAACCAAATTCCAGTTCGTCTAAGCTGCAAAGCGAAATTTTTCTAGTCTACTTCAGTCCTCTAATAATTGTTTGAGAATTATTATTTTAATGAACAAGAAATTTTTGCCTTTTCTTAAACGATTTTGTTATTTTCTTATTATTACTATTAACTATTAAAAAAGAGAATCAATTGAGCACAATTTAAAAATATATATATATTTATTTATTAAATAATAGTCTTAAAATATATATATACAGTCGACTCTCGTTATTTCGAAATTCAAGGGACTCTTAAAATATTTCGAATTATCGAATGTTTGAAATATTAAATGGTTCGAAATTTTAAGAGAAAATAAATAAAACTTCGAATTATCAAGGGTTTTAATTTAACGTAATGTACACACATATGTTCAAATTAATTAAGCTTTATAAAGAACTCATTTATACGGGTTTGCTTCGAAGCACATTGCTTCTGCTCAGACTTTTCAATAATTTTTTCAAAGACAAAAAGTGCCTGATATGCTGTTTCATCAGTTTCGTTTTGTAGACAAAAGCTTTGTAAGTTATCCAATGAGGCTCTTGCTACCTTAACTGACACCGTTGCCAAAGGCTCTGATGTATCGTCTTCATCTTCATCGTTGCTCTTTTCATTCGTATCTGTCGCAGATGAAATTTTGTCATCGGTTAGGGATCCTGAAATATCCACTTGAACATAGTCTTTTGCAACTTCGCTTTTCTTCTCACCTCCTTCTACTTTTCCAATTAGTTTCTTCTTTTCAGCAATCGTCAAACTTTTATACTTTTTAGGACTCATTTAATAAAAAATTTTAATATGTATACTAACGAAGCGATTCGTACGGAAGCGAGTATCAAAATGTGCACAGTATAGTTAGTTTCAGGGGAGTCCCAAAATTCAAATTCAAAGTTCTTACTAACACACCAAGAAACTTCACAAATTCGAATTGTCGAGTGTTTAACCATATGAGTACGAATTACCGCGTCTTAGCAATGATTTTTTAGTTCGAATTACTGGGTGCATAAAAATGTATGGTCTTAATTCGAAATATAAAGAGATTTTGTAGGGGACTCGTGATAACTCAATTAATAAGTGGTTCGAAATAACGCAGGTTTGAAATAACAAGAGTCGACTGTATGATATATATATACTGAAAAATATAATAATAAAAAAATAATAATAATAATATGTAAATAATATAATAATGTATACTATAACATAATATATATATTATATATAAATACCTAATTTTATATTATAGAATTTTTAAATTATACTATTATTATATTATTTTTATTATACTACTATTTTATTAAAAAATGGTGAATATTAAATAAAATTGAAAAAAATAGTATATAGTATTAATAGCTATTTATTTATATACATACATATTTTATTTATTATTTGTACTAATAAAGTTTAGTTTTAACATATAGAAATATTAAAAGAAACAAAAAATCGAGTTGTGCGTCGGCCGGGAATCGAACCCGGATCAACTGCTTGGAAGGCAACTATGCTGACCATTACACCACCGACGCCACTTGATTAGACGGTGTGTACTACTCGATTTAAATCACAGACGCTTAGCAAAGTTCTAATAATGCTTCAATGTAAATATTACAATTTAAAAAAGTTTTACTTTTATTTTTACTTTTTAAATAAAAGCATTTTTAGCATTATTTGAGTTGTTTTTTTTAATTTCATGTGATATTAATATATATAAATTTGTATAACATATACATTTCCAAGGGAGTCTTCTTCTTACAGCAAAGACAGTTTATAACATTATTCTTTATAACAAATTTATTTAAATTATTTTGACACTAACTTACTTATTTATTCTACATTTAAAGTCTGCAATAATATTTTTTTTTTGCCTTATGATATCTATTTTTGTCAGCAAATGATATGAAACAGACAAAAATTAATATCCATTTATAATTGAAATGCTCTACAATCGTTGGCCATTCACTACAGCAGCTGGTATAGGGTATCAGCAAGTCGTGCTCTTCCCTATTGTCGACTGCTCAGTTGTTTATTTTGGTTTTGTGGCCCAAATAAATGTATTAAAGTTGGTTAACGCCTTCATTTTTGTGCGGAGACGCAGCTCGGCTCAAGCCCCAAAGTAGGTGTAATAAAAAATATGAATTGTTGTTGTTTTAAGCTGCAGCAGCAGCGGCAACAGCAACAGCAACAGCAACAGCAACAGCAACAGCAACAACAACAACAACAGGTTGCAACAGCATCCAAGCAGCAGCCAAAAATCATTCAGCGCATTTTACGAGCCAAAGAAGCGCTTGGACTCCAATCGGATTGGCTTCGGCATTGGGAGTGGGACTCAGCTGGAGGATTCCGTGTGAACAGCAAATTGGCAGGCGAAATGTGTGAATAGAAGTGTGAATAACGGGCTGACTGTATGGTCAATTGAATACGTCGAAATGAGTGCTAAAGCAGCAGTAAGTGAATAAAACAAATGCACGCAAGTGCAGCAAAATGAATGCTTGCCTAGCATTGAGTGTATTTAATGGGTGCATCTATTGTCGGTGAGTGTTATTATTCACAAAATGACTTCATTTCATTTATCTAAATCTAAATTATTTTGTATCGTTCTCCCTCTGTCTCTCTTTATAAATGTGAGTATATTCAAATATGTGCACTCACATCGTACTCGCATTGTATTCACTGATAGAGAGTTGCTGGAGATTTCTTATATTAGCGCATATTCTTTGGTATATTCACAATCACTCAATAGTCGATTTATGAGTATATATATGTAAATTTTGGGAATAAACAATAATTATTCGTTTATATGATGAGTGTATATAAATAGGGCACACACACTCATGATATTATAGATATAGCCTCTGAGTTTACCTTCTTTTAGTCTATAAAGTGGTATTTGTACATATATTCTCAGACACTCATGAGTATATGCAGTAACATTCTTGAGTATATTCATGAGTGAGTGTAAACTAACATTATCTTATAACATTAAACAATTTTATATTATTTCAATGCTTTTTCATATTTGCATCACTATATTTAAAACTGCACGTGTAGAAAAATATTCGATAATATATTCATGAGTACATCTACAATCAATTAAGTTTTATATAACTATTTTTAAATACAAACATATTCATATACATATATATTTGGGAGTATTCATATTCTATCATATCTGATAAGCAATTTGTTCATTTACCCATGTGAGTGTATTCATATTCAAATCCATATTTTATGCTGTATTTAATGGCTCTATTGATGAGCATTAAAACTGTAAATTGGCTAATAAGCCGCACACTGAAAATAGATTTAATTGGACCTCGAATTAATTAAAACAAGAAGAGGATAATAATAAATGAATTAACAAAAAAAGTATAAACAGAGCCGAAAAGGTGTAAATTGGCATTTGATCCTTGGGCTCATCAGGTAATTAACGCACAGCGGTGCAGCTCGAGCTGGATGGAGGATGGAGGAGCAGGAGTAGGGCCAGGGGCAGGGGCAGGGGCAGGGGCAGGAGCAGAGGCCATGGGGGCATGCCCACCCGCTGTTGCTGCCTGGTCGAAGGAAATGCCACAAAATTGAAAATGCAAAACGAAATTGGCAACTGGCAACTGGCAGCGGCAAACGGAGCGGAGCGGAAACGTTGCCCGTGCGTAATGAAGACGTTAAGCTGAAGCTGAGGCTGAGACTGGGGCTGGGGCTGGGGCTGGGGCTGGGGCTGGGGCTGGGGCTGGGGATGGGACTGCGACTGCGCCTGGGACTTGGACTTGGACTTGAAGTGAGACTGAGACTGGGATTGGGAGTCTGAAATTGGGACTCGCGTCTTGGGATCTGCCTCTGTGGCTGGCAGGCATGCGTCGCAGTTGCAGTCGCAGCCGCTGTCGCTGTCGCTGTTGCTGTCGACGTCGCTGGCTGCGTAACTCTTTTGCGGCGGCTCGTTTTGGTTCCGCTTGCATGTTAACTGAAAATTCGTATGAAGGCGAGAAATTAATGAATCATTCACACCTGCATGACGGATTGTCGGCATTACTCGCCGCAGCGCGCTGGCTCCATTTTGTACGACTGCGAACGAGGCAAACGAACTGGACGGGGGCGCGGCGCTCCTGACGCTTCTGCCAAAGGAGTTGCCTTCTAATTTATTTGCCTGATGTGTGTATTACATTTGTGGGCCCCGGCCCCGGCCCCGGCCCCGACCCCGACCCCTGGCAGTCAGCAGTCGGCAGTCGGCAGTCGACTGTTGCCTGTTGGCTGTTGGCAGTCGCAACGGTGTCCCGATTCCGGACGCGTTGCATTTCGTAAATTGCCTCACGGCTATGCAGGTCGCAGTTCTCGAGACGATGATGTTGCTGTTGCTGCTGCTGCTGCTGCGGCTGCGGCTGCGGCTGCCTGATGATGCGTTCAGCTGAAAGTATCTTTCAGATACAGTTGCTGCTCTCCAGATACAATGGCCGAAATTCGTTTGTGCGGCAGCGAAAATCCAATTCATTGTTGCTTGCCACGCACGTGTTGTGGGCTGCCAGCCCCTAACACCTGAGCACTTGACGACCTGGGACCTGGGACCTGGGACCTGGGACCTGGCAACACCCTAAACTCGATCTCATTAATTATTAATGACAGCCACTTGTTCTGCCAGCGATGACAGTCACTAACGATCGATGCTATCGTTAATCGATAGTTATTATATATCATTCCACTACAATCATACCCACATACATATACATATATGATTATAAAACTACCATTGGAACTACCTATGTTCCACTTCAGGCAAATACTTGAATAATCGATAGGTTAATCGATTGCAGTCGCACGCTTGGCCGTGACTATCGATATTAATGTAATCTATTTAAGAATTTTTAGCTACGGCAAAATATAAGTCAATCGATCGAATTGGCAAGCTATTGCAGTAAGTAATATCGATAACATTGATTCCTTTCATATAAAATTAAAGCCATGTCATTTTCAGTTGTTTTATATTCATAATATATTTGCTTTAGCTTTAACCAATAATCGTTATCGACCGACTAGCTTTTCTTTGCTATAATAATCATCATTGTTATCGATATATCGGCTATAGCTCATTTTATACATTATATCAATTTTATGGATATATATATATATATATATATATATATATATATATATATATATTTGTATTTTAATTACTATAAAAGGTAATATGTAAATTGTCGATAGTTATCGAATTCACTTTCCGATAGTTGCTCGATTACACCCATGGTGTTGGAGCTGTCCCTGCTTCGGGCTGATCTTGCGGTCCAGGTCCATTGCGTGCTGCGTGTGAACTTGATGGATGCACTGCCTCCGCCTGCTGCTCGCTGAGCTCGCACCACTGCACCACAGCACCACACGCAGCCGCCGGGCACTTTGCTGGAAATTAAAATGCATACTCAAATTCACATTCGCATTCGCATTCGCTAGCCCGTTCCTGTGCCCATTCCCATTCCCATTCCGTTCTATTCCGTAACCCTCTTGAAGCAAAAGTCAAAAGTCAGAGAGAAATGCAATTTGGCAATTAAAAAAGAAATTCAATATACTCTAGCCAAGTGAATGCTTTCTACGTCAATACCCCACATGGATACCCTGCAAATTGACTAATTTAGGCTAACCCACCGACGAGTACGCAGATTAAATAAAACACCTGCCCCGTAGCTCGAATAATACTGGAATTCAGTTATCAGTTTATTTAGTTCGATTCGTTTTCAATCAGTATACCCTGTAATATTACCAACATGCACATACCTTAAGCTAACATACCCGACGTCGACATGGATTGAAACGCTATTCGATTTTAGTTTTAGCCTTCTCAACGTATACATACATATATATTTGCACAACTTCAATACACCCCTCGTTCTGCACTCCTACTGGGTATTCCTAGAGCTAAACAAAAAAAATTGATGTATAAAAAATAAATGTTTTGTGCTGCAATTAGTTTGGCTGGGACGCGTGCTATGTGCCCAGCAGCGACTCGATGCTGAAGGATGAGTTGTACTGCGGCTTCTGCTGCTTCTGCAGCGGCGGCTGCTCGGGCAGCGCCGTCAGACTCGGTGGCTCCAGTGGTATCGGTGGCTCCAGTGGCTCCAGTTTTATCACAGGGCTGCTGTCGCAGCTGTCGTCCGGGCAGCCTCTTTGGTTGCAATTGTCCAAGCTATCGCCGCCCACCACATCGATGGCCAGCTCATCGTCCAGCTGCTCCCCTCGCTCCAGCTCCTGCTGCAGCTCCATGTCGCTGGACTCCAGCTGGTGCGCCGCCAGATAGTCGGCGCGCAGCTGCTCCACGTTGACCTCGAGCCCCTTGAGGCGCAGCTTGCGCGCCTGCCGCTCGATCGCCTTGGCTATGCGCTTGCTGCGCTGCGCCCTGCTCGAGAGGATCGGGATCAGTTATGGGGGCAACTGTTGCTCCGCTGTGCCGTTCACTTACCGCTCCTTGGCTCGCAGCTCCTGCAGTGGAATCGGGGCACCGCTGCAGCTCTGCGGCTGGGCATTGTGCGCCGGCCGTCCAGGACCCTTCTTCGTGTGCTCCTTCTTGCGCCACTTGGCGCGCCGGTTCTGGAACCACACCTGCAGCAGAAATGAGAGATATATATGGAATCAAAGGATTGTCTTAGAGCATATGAACTACAGCTTAGGATAGGCTAAAGGACTTAGATTCTGCCTTTATCAAGGACGTACTGAGCCTTCTCTTATTCGATCGAATATCTAGTTGGAGCATGTGATATTATTAGATGGAAATGATATTATCACATTAAAGATGTTCATTATAATATATTTTTGCGTCATTATAGGAGAGGCTATCTTCGCTCTATGAGTATTGTGTATCAGGAAACAGATTTCATACATATAACGTACTCTTTGAACTCTTTGAATGAAGGCTAAATAATAATAGAACCAGATTTGATGAGGTCGATATTACATATGTCGAAAGACAGACGGTGCAAGCCTTCAACATTTTCAGCCAGAAACTCAGAGTAAAACTCATACTTATATATGTATATATATAACAAAAAAATACTCTTTCAGTTGGGTGCTACTGACTGCATAATACTCCTTCGCGGTCTAAACAGTTGAATCTTCTTTGATAAAGGACTCAGGAATAATCTACAGTAGCTTAACTGGTCCATCTTGGAAGATCCCTTGGGTGATATAGTTTTTCCTGATTTTCCACGCGTCTGTGGTTATTGAGAAAATCATATCAGTTTATAAGACGAGGGTATCCACGTGTAATTATTTCAATATTAAAAAAATATTCATATATATACATATATACTACTTATATAAATGGTAATTCCATTTCAGATCTGTCAGAAATCTTATGAAGAGATCTGACAAATCGACAGATTACCCCACACAGAGAAATAGAGGGATAAACGAAGCGAGAGACTGGGATAAGTCATGATTACGTAATCATTTAAGCTCAGCTTATTGAAGAGATTAAAAACAAAATGTGTAGATTATATAGAGTAGAATGTATGTATATAGATATATGTAGAGTTGATAATAGTCCATAAATCTCTAGAGTTGTACAATTATATTAATATAAACAATAATCATGATGATGAGCTCAATAATGAGTACATGCTGCCAATGGTAAGCAGAATACTAAATATCCTCGCCTTTCGCAATTGGCGAACAATTGATGAGTTCGCATCAGCCGAGTGGCTGAGCGATAGCAATAATAATGAATATTATTATTATAAAGTCGTTATCGTAATTTAGTTATATTATTCTCAGGTTCAGTTTCAGTTTCGGTTTCGGTTTCGGTTTCAGCTTCGATATGCGCTCGTTCGTTATGCATGGGGTTAGACGGCGGGTCGTAAACAAAATGGCGTCCCTAATTGGGGGCAGTTTGAGGAGCGACTCAAGCGCAACGCGAACGCATTTCGAGTGGGCGTTCGAATGTCTCTCTGTATGTGTGCGAGTGTGTGTGTGTGTGTGTGTGTGTGTGTGTGCGAGTGTGTCACTTCAATTTGAAGTCATTTGCATGCATTGTGCATTTTTTAATGTGCAGCAAATTGTTTTTGAGTAGCTGCATGCGATGCTCACGTTGCCTGCGCTTTAACGAGCGCCCAAACCTCAACCTGAACCAAAACCAAGTCGAATTGCACCGCCCATCAGCCAGCTGGCTCACCTGTCCAACTGTTCGTCCCACTGTCTGTCTGTCTGTCTGTTCGACTGTCTGTCCGACTGTCTGTCGCAGTCTTGTCTCGTCTTGTTCGCATTGACAAATTGATATGTCATGTCAAGAAACAATTTCTGGCTAAAGCGTAGACGCAGACATAGAATAATGTCCCAGCCCAAGAAACCGACGACGATAATCACACGCCTGACATGCAACTCGGCAATGGCAACGGCAACGTCCATGGCATCGCAGTCGACGTCGTCGTCGTCGTCGTCGTCATCGACAGCGTCAACTCTTTGGGCAATGCAATTGAAATCATTCCAACAGCAGCGAGCGGCACGAAACGCAATTCGAAATGAAATAAACTGAATTATAATGAATAAAAATAGTCGGGTAATTGGTTTTATTGAGTAATTGAGTTGCAGTTGCAGTCAAATTGTTTTACCCAGCAAAAGCACGCAAATGCCGCTGCAATCAGGTGCGATCGAACTAGATGCCAATACCAATACCTGAGCCGAAAAATGGGATTATCGATGACGATTTCATTGGAAAATAGAATTATGAAATTGCTTATAAGAGTTGCTTTTACTTGTATTGTAGAGTACAGAGTACATGGATATCAAAATATTGATAGATTACGGCATATCGATGCCAAAGGGATGCTAACTTCATTGGAATCATAGATTAATGAAGTTCATAGCTTCAGATCTTTCAGTAAGCAGGTAAGATCAGCAATACATAGACATTGATACATTGAACAATTAAATGTAGTCGATATTATAGAGACTATCGATATCGATAACAATTGTATGGGAAAGCCGAATTGAAAATATATATTCGAGTTTGTTCAGTTGGTATTATAAAATAGCCTGAAATATATATTAATCGAATAGACTAAATCGATTCCAAAGGACGAAAGCAACTTTTGTCAACTAAGTTGAATGTGTTCATGTAATATAATAATATATTGTAAAACTTAAAAAATAGATGTGGATATCAATATATGTAGAAGAGATAGCTTGAACTATAATATAAAATTAAATAAAATCGAAAAATGTATCGATAGGTAATTGATTTAAAAAGGTTTCTTGAATGTTAAGAGTTAAAATGAATGAATTGTTACTGGATTATTTTTATAGGTACACATTACATAGATACATTATATTAGAGGTACTGATTAGTATCGATTTTTATCGCTAGATATTAATTTTAATATATTTAATTATCGATTTTAGTTTATAGATATTTTTGCTTTTGTGACTTACCGCTATGCGTCCCTCCTTCAGATCCAGCCGCATGGCCAGCGCCTCGCGCATAAACACGTCCGGATAGTGGCTGCTGAGAAAGGCCCGTTCCAGCTCCTCCAGCTGCCAGGTGCTGAAATTCGTGCGGCTCCGTCGACGATTGGCGGCAGCTGCTGCGCTGCTCTCGCTGGCCGTCTCATCATCCTGGGCGGAGGCAGAGGCCGAGGCCGAGGCGGAGGCGGAGGCGGAGGAGACTGCAAAAGTCGATAAGTCGTTGGCATTAGGCGCTCAGCTGTAAACGCAAATCGCTAATGGTAAATCGCAATTGCAAATCGCGAATCGCAAATCGCAAACGGCAAACGGAGCTGCTGCCAACAAGCGAGCATAATTAACTGACAAGCGCGTGGGCGTGGTGAGAGGCAGGGGCAGAGGGAGACAACACATGGATCCATAGAGTCAGAGATAGATAGAGAGAGAGAGAGAGAGAGAGAGAGAGGGACTTCTGCTTTTGGGCTCTTTGGCTGTCTATGCATTTCGCTAGGCTCGTATTATAATTGCAAACAATTAAAGTCTATTTATGTAAATTTCCAAGATATGCTAACGGCTAACCGCACACAGGAACACAGAACACAGAACACAGGAACCAGCCGGCAACGCCAGTGGGCGTGGCACGGCTCTGCCGGCTGGATGGTCGCCCAGCCCTCAAGCAGCCAGCCATAGTTGTCCCTGCCCCCAATTGCCAGTCAGGCCCCGAGTGTTGGCTGATAGACCCTGCCTCCCCGCCCCTGGCCACCATTCTTAGCCCCTGACTCGGACGGCCGCATTGCATTTGGCAATGTTGTTGTCGGAGCCGTTGCCGTTGCCGCTGCCGCTGCCGTCGTTTGTCTTTCTAATTTATAGCAGCGCAAATTGGTTTTCACAATTAGGAAGTGGTGGGTGTTGCTTGGGCCTGGTGCCTCGGATATGTTTAAAGCGCCGCTGCGGAAGTAAATTACATGTAGCGCGAACCCAATTCGTTCGCCCCAAATCGTCCCGGCCGCCTCCTTCGTGGCCAAAAGGCAAAGCCTGTGTTTAGTTGCAGTTTTAAGTGAAATTTAATTGCAGAATTTGCTGGCTAACCAATTAGAGCTATGGTGGGGCAGGGGCGAGATCGCTTAACAATTCACAAGTAAAACTAAACAAGAGACAGAGAGAGTGACAGAGAGAGATAGTGCTAGAGGAAAAGTTAAGCCAATCGAATTCACATTTTGATGCGCATATTCGATAGCTCCACGTAATGATGACAATGATGCGGCCGACCCCAAAAGCGAAACAAGAGGAAGAACAAACTAGAAGGGAGACAGCCTCAGCCTCAACTCCCCCCTCTTGGCACTACGTGATATTCATATGTTAAAATGCACACAGATTTCAACAATTTATAAACACATCTGCTACCAAATCGAAGGAGTGTCTCGAGGCCCGTTCCAACCCTCGATTGACACAACAAAGGACCCAGAGACTTCATAGATACAAACACACACACAATGATGGGATGGCTGAGAGGGGAGGGAGAGAGGTAGAGAGCGGGTACAGGTCCTTGGTATCGCCTGTCCATTCGTATGGGTCTCTCGGCTCTTGGCTCAGCGGCCTCATCATCACACTTGAAAGAGTAAATAAAATATAATTCCTCAAGGGTGTTATAAATAAAATTATCTGAATTATGGTTTCTGTTGACTTTCTGACTTTGTTCGAGCACGCTCTCTCCCTCACAATCACGCGCTCTCTCGCTGTCTCTCTCTCTCCCTCTCAATTTCAGTTGTGGCATAGTTGTGCTTGGGGTCCATGCCCCTAATTTGCTACAAGGCGCCTTCATACATTAACTCAAATCGATAGCAAACTGTGGCCCAGCCAAGCCTCTGTTTGGGAGTGGGCGTGTCGGAGACGATGGAAAAAGGGCTGCTTATAAATCAGATAATGGACGAGCATTTTGATAAGAGCACAAAAATTATGACAGCTACCAAATCAGTTAGTGAAACAATCAAGCAGCGCTGCAGAGCAACAACAAAGGGGGCAGAGCGAGTTCCTTATGGGAAACTCTCAAGGAAAGAGTTACAGAAGCTTTAAGGAATGTTTAATTTAATTTTAGATTAGCACTCGGACAGGGAAAGCTGTGCCAGTTCATATGGAGTATATCTGCTCGATCAGGTCGAAGGTCTGATTCGAGCTGACTGGGCCCGTTTATCCCTCTGCTTGATCTGTCACTGGACATCTAATCGTAAAGTGCTCTCTCACTCACCTTTGTGGTTAATCGAACTGAGGCTGGCTCCAATGAAACATTTATCTTCGCTCATCGTTGCTATAATGTGGAAAACAGTTTCTCTCTTGGATATTAGTTGATCCAAATTTACTTGACTTCGACTGACAATATCTATATCTGTATATATTTTACATATTATAATGTAATATACTCATTCACGAAAGTTAAATGAGTATACTGCTTATTGTGCTAATCCATGTCCATCTTGCTGCCCTTCCATCCGTCTGTCCGTGAGGTTATATTCACTGAGGGCGTGGTCAATCGAAAAAAATATTTCCGGAAAGTTCTTCGAAAAACTACTTTACAAGTGCTAGAGACTTCAAATTTTAAGTCTATGCCTACTTGACGCAAGATAAAAAGATATAGCGGATAAATTTATCCTATATGAGTGTGGCTAATCGGAATAATCTATGTCTTGCCATGTTTTTCACAGTGAGTAAGTATTCTGAAGTCGGTAGCATCCGACTCCAATGACCTTAACACCAGTTGAAAACATAGGTTCACTCTAGATCATCGTTGTCGGTTTCTGCCAACATTCTTAGATTTTCATTGAAGTAAATTCATATAAAAATTCATATAAAGTGTTAGTTCTCTGTCTTGATAATAATTTTAATAACTTTCCAAGATTTCAGTAATCTGGCAAATACTCTCATAACAAGTACCGAAAATCAGTGCAGTGCAAGAACGAATCAGTTAAGTTATTGTGCAAACAAGACCATTGAACAAAGCTAATACCGTCGATTCTGGAAGTAGCTATATAAACTGTCTGTTCATCTCTTTTGTTTGCTTAAATCTTATTCTTGTTCATTAAAAATACTCAAAGAGGAAAAAACTTGGCTAACACGAAACTCTCTCAGCTTCTTCAGGAACTATTCCGATGCAAATATTGAATAGGATTTCACTTATCGTCAGGGCTTAAGCCCATCAAGTTTTTCATTCCCCAATTCAATGATCTTCGTTTCTGACCCCTTTATTTGAATGTGCCTTCATGCATGCACAATTCGTTTTGTCTGTCCGCCCGTCCGTCTTCCCATCCGTCCGTCTGTCTCTGTTCACTTCACATTTTGGCCTAATTAAAAATGTTAGCCCTATTTTAATTAGGCCAGCAAATGGTGCACAGTTGCGAGGCGCTTGCAAATTTGCATATAAATAGTATAAATTGTTATTGTTGTTGCTGTTGCTGCTGTTGTTGTTGTCGCTCTGTCAGACTCTGCGGACAGCGTCTAATCTACGGGCTGCTGCATTGGGTCCATCTAACGCCTATTGCCCCTTAGCTTTGCCTAATTTCAAAGGTCGTTAAGCAAACAAACTCAAGTGGAACAAAATGCAGCGACAAACACCCAAAGAGGCAGAGAGACAGCGAGAGAAAGAGAGAGAGAGAGTGTGTACCCTAGGGGGAAAAAAGAACAAGGCTCGTGACCATAACGCTGAGCGGGCAAAACTACCCGCCTCAGGGGGGTGGGGCTGCCCAAGGGCGAATCAAATCTGCGAGCTCGGCCCAGGGCTCGTGCCAGCGCCCACAAAGAGCCAAACGACCCACAAAGAATTACCCAAAAACTCACCATAAAAATCTATAAAAAAAATTAACTTCCAGCAACAAAAACAACAAAAAAATGCTTAAAAAAAAAAAAAAGGAAAAAAAACGACGGGCATAAAACGAGGCCTCATTAGCATTTATAGGCCACACAAATGTCAGATGCTGGGCGGGCAGACACCGTTTGAGCGGGTCGTGGCACCTTTTGAGGTTCATTAGAAGCTTGTCACATGATTTGATTTGTTTTGCATCACTTTTTGCGTTTTGCTCACAACAAAAAAAAAAAAAAAAAAAAAAATTGAAAAAAGTGGAGAAAAAAACTAGAAAAAATGAGAGTCAAATAGAGTTAGAGTCACAGTTAAAAAAATAAAAAATAAAAAATATATATATATAGGCACACACAAATTGTAGTTCACACACACGCACACACACCTTTCATTAGGGCTGCTAATTATGCGACCCTCGCGCAGCATCCCAGGAAAAAAAAAAAAACAAGCTACAGAATCAGGCCACGCGCCCCTGTTAACGGGGTTTTCTATTTGATTTTCCTAATGTTTTTCTTTGTTTTGCTTTTTTTTCCAGTAACCCCTTTGCTTTGGCTGAGTTTTCAGTGGCTGTCAAAGTCGTTTAGCTGCTTGTTTTTGTTGCTCTTCCACTTTGATGAATTGTTCGAGCGTCCACAGCGCCGTCTCTAACTTTGGAGTGTGTTAAATTGTTGCACGCCGCACGCTAAACGCTCCGAGCGTGCCCCATGAGAATCTCGAGACGTGAGAATCCCGGAATCGTCAAAAGCATTTAACTACATGTGAGCAGCTAACATCCATACGAAAGAAACCCCCGATTTGCCATACAATTATCTAGTTAGCATCTCCAATCGAACACATCTTAGAGTCTTACAGATATCGAATGGACTAGACCAGCAAGTTGTCAATCTAATAAAGCCTTTAATATTTTATATATTCAAAAAATAAATAGAGTTTGAATCAAGAATCAAAAATCAATTTTTAATTTCCTTTCAACTTTGTTCAAATCTAAATTGCATTTTCTTATTAATAAGACTAATCAATACTTTCTTATTATTTGTTTATTTATTATTATTATTGGATTATCTGGATTACCTCAATTCTAGCGTATGGGAGATTAATATCATCTGATATACATACCTATTTGACAAAATCCCTCTGGTTTCATTGTTTCCGTTGTGTCTCTTTCTTCTATTTTGTCTTTCCTCTATTTATCTCCATCTCTCTTTCATTCTCCCTCATGCTCTCCCTTTGTATGCCTCTGTTTATTTATATCTCTTATCTGGTTAACATATTATCCAATGCTATTTATTGATCTCTCTCACTCTCTCTCTTTCTCCCTCACTCTATACATACTTATATAAAGTATGTATATCTCCCTACTGTTTTCTTTCTTTCTCT